TGCATCCAATAATTGCTGATGAAAATCAAGGTACCAAGGATTACGCTTGTTAGACAATGGTCTTAGTTCTGAAAAGTATTGATGAAATTCCTTGCTTCTTTTTACAGGTGGAAAAATTCCCCACATACCAGCAACAACATTGCTCGAGAATTTAGTGGCTGCTTCAGCAGATGGCTTACTAGCAATCCATACAATATTTCTTATTTCAGTATTGCTCTTTTTAATATCACGTACTTGTGTAAAAAGTTTACTTGCATGGTCTACAGCAGCAAAGAGCACAACCACACTAGCTGTGGTATTGAAAAACAGTTTTTGTGCCAGCTTTTTGTATTCTGGTGTTTTAAAGTTATCAGTTATAGGCTCACTAATGTCAATACAAATGTCATTGGCTTTTGCAAGGTTTTCAAATTCATTGTTGAGTGGTTCCCCAAACAGGTTATTAGTGTAAATGGTCGAAACATGGTCCCAATTGTAATGGAGTATGATGTCAATTATTGCTTTTGCCTGTAAATCGTCTGGAGGTAAAGTCCGGAAAAAATACCCATACTGGTTACGATTGCTAAGTACAGTTGATGTGGAGGCATAACTAACTTGAGGCATTTGGAAAAGACGAAAAAAACTAGCCACTGGAATAGTTACAAAGCTTTCCAAAGGACCAATTGTTGCTGCCACTGGTATTTGGGTAGAGTCATTACCTGATGCTTCTGATGGTCTACAAGTACCAGATTCAGCATCAGTATTTGTAAAGACAAGGCTGACACTTTCATCGAGAGCTATATTTTCACTTTGACAAGTATCTCTGATATCATATCCAAGGGTTATATTAGGCAACAGATCAGGATCACTGTTTATGCTGTCTAGTGAATAAAACATTGCTTCTAATGTTTCAATGCCTTGGCCCCAGACTTTGTCACCACACTTAGCACCAGCAGATCCTTCTGCATCATTATGTACTGTGAACAATCCTCCCAAAATGATGTCCTTTCCTCTCCGATCCTGTACTCCATTGATCCTATTGCCACCATCAGTAGTGAGTATTGATTCAGGAGGAGTGTTGTATTGAAACTGCACATCACTACTCTGTACAGACTGAAGAAATAAAAAGCAAAAGAGCAACAAGGACACTATCATTATGGTTGATTTGAATGGCCAGGCACTCTAACTTGTAGTACTGTATTTATGTAAACTGGGGTTGCATTATATTTTGTGTAGGAGTTTGTTTCTTTAACACTTTATTTTCTAAAATGCTGTGAGAAGATTGCATGTTTACTTTTGTAATTTATATGTTTATTCTATTGTGCATGCAGTGCTTTTGTATTATAGACTACATGAGTGCATCATTGAAACCGAATTCTGTTTCAAGTTGTATTCATTACAACTGCAATTTACTATTTGATGCATATATTAACAAAAAACTAATGGGGAAGCAATCCTAAAATTGAAGACACAAACATGAAAGTGTAGATTCTTATGTACACGGTAATAATAAATAATAAACATGTTGATACAACTGGTTCTGTTCCCTTTATAGTGATCATGACTCACAGTACAGATCAGTGTATTAAGAATGTATCAGCTATGTGGTATGTGTTTATGAGATTTGAAACCTGATTGTATCAACACAGGTCATGTGACAGAGGAGTGTGCTCATGTGATTCTTTATGGACTGGAGATACTTGTGAATCTCATGTCTGATTGCAATAGACATAGAATTTGTGTAGAAGGTAAGAGAAATGCACTATTACTGATGCATATTGATGTATTAAAAATTTTTGAGCTATTGAGATTGAAAAGTTACAGTGTACCAATTTCTAAACAAACCATTTTATTGGCAGCCAAATTTGTCCAATCATTTTGAACCAGTGTGTGAATCCTGTAATGCTAATGCTACCACGTTACTAATGATCCATGGTTTTTCAGAAAAATGGCTTCAAAATTTCCCCAAATTTTTATTACATTTTTTGATACATATTGATGTCCATTTGCTGTGTAGAAAGTTTGAGCTGATTCTGGTTTCAATTTTTCAAGTTATGGTCGTTTTTTAAAAATGGCCAATTTGTGAAAAATACCCAAGGCTATTATAGCCCATGGTTTTTTCAGAAAATGGCTCCAAAATCACCCCAAATTTTTATCTCATTTTCTGATACATATTGATGCCCTTATGTTGTGTAGAAAGTTTGAGCTGATTCCAACTTCAATTTTTCAAGTTATGGCCATTTTTTAAATGACCGATTCGTGAAAAATACCCAAGGCCATAGTTCATGGTTTTTCAGAAAAATGGCTTCAAAATTGCCCCCAAAATTTTATTACATTTTCTGATGCATATTGATGTACTTATGCTGTGTAAAAAGTTTGAGCTGATTCCAACTTCAATTTTTCAAGTTACAGCCAATTGTTTTAAAAAGGCTAATTCTTGAAAAAATTTCCAAGGCTATAGCCCATGCTTTTTCCCAAAAAATGCCTCCAAAATCACCCCAAGTTTTTATTACATTTTATAATACATATTAATGTACTTATGCTGTGTAGAAAGTTTGAGCTGATTCTAACTTAAGTTTCTTGAGTTATTACTACATACATGTGCTTCAAAAAATTAGGCATTTCTGAAAAATACTCTGCATCAATTACTGATTAACACTTAACTGGTCATTTGTGTCAATGACTTAGTATGCTTATAATGTTCTATTGTTTCCACCCTTTCTAATTACAAATGGCTATATAGTTATTTATTGACAGCAGCAATTTTATTATGTATAATTACATAGGAAATTAAAACCAAGCAATAAACTCAAATGCTAAAAGTATTTATTAATGACAGTAGTACATGCAAAACACTCCCTTAGCTAGCTTTTGTTTAGTTATTTTTTAAATCAGTTTCTTGTGTTGAAGGAGAAATTAACACTTTTGGGTTTATTAT